GGGGGGGTCGGGGACTGGGGTTGATGAACGAGGACGGAGCAGAAACGTCAACACGACAGACGACGGCAGAGAACCAGGAGTCTGGAATCTCTCAGAGATGGAGCGGCTGATAACAGAAATAAAGAACACTGAGCTGGAGTCTGCTTTTTGTTTTTTTGTTTGTTTTTTTTTAAGATGGAGTCGGTCCTCCTCCGCTCACGGCCCATAAATCAGCCGGGCCGGTCAGGGTTTTCTGCTGCCTACCATGAGCCGTGCCAACACATTCCTGTGGAACTGCCCGGAGTCTAAATAAACCCCAACCTACACACACACACACACACACACACACACACACACACACACAGGAGATAAGAGGTGAGGCTTTGGATGAGCAAAAAAAAAAAAACCAAACCTTTCAGCCCCCAGGGGGCGTGTGAGATACCATAACAGGAGAGGAGACGGGGGAGGGAGGAGTGAGAGACAGAGAGAACGACCCAGAATAACAGGGTTTCTACCAGGACGGGCCAAAGTCAGAACCACAAACAGCAGCTTTGTAGCCAAAGAGGAACCAGAGGAAAAACCTGCGGCAGAACCAGAACCAGAACCAGAACCAGAACCAGAACCAGAAGGTCCGGTTGGGTTTTTAAAAAGAACCGTTATATGAACAAGAGCAAAAGAAGAGTTTAAACACAAACGTGTCTGGAGGTGAATCTGCTGGAGTCAGTGGGGGGGGGGGTCTTGTATTGAAGTAATATTTCAGACAGTACCGTCACTTATTATCATGGTATTCAACAACCATAGACACACCCCCCCCCACACTAACGCTGATCTCTGTCTGATCACTGACATTTCCATACAGGAGGGAGGGAGAAGACAGATGTGAACATGATGGGGGATGAGGGTGAGTTGGGGGGGGGTGAAGTGGAAGGTGAAGTGGGGATAAAAAGGTGTGAATAGAACACAGTGCCAGGGGGAGAGGATGAAAGAGGGGAGGGGGGGGGGGGGGGGGGGGGGGGGGGAGGAGGGGGGACGGTGTGAGCTATAAACAATGTTAACAGAAGACAGCTGAGGGACAAAAGAGACACTCGTATGAAGGAGGGAAGTAACTGTGAGGGAGAAAGAAGGAGGGAGGACGAGGGAGGACGAGGGAGGGCGAGGGAGGACGAGGGAGGACGAGGGAGGACGAGGGAGAGTTGGGAAAAGGGGGGGGGCTGGGGAGCTAACGTTAGCTACAACAGTCCTGGTCCAGACATCAGAGCTAACGTTAGCTGTTAGCTACAGCAGTCTAGCTAAAGCTAGCATAGGTAGTTTGTGCAAAATGGTTCCAGGCCTGAATTAAATTATTTTTTTGCATTAAAAAAAAACAATAGGTTTCAGTGAAATTAAGAAACATTAGATAATTTTAAGACAAATTTTAAAACCTGCCCTAAAAGTCCGACACATCAGTCTATAGTTTGATAACTGATATAATTCTGTCCCATCCGTAGAGTCAGAGTTTCTCCACTGCTCGTTTTATCCCGGCTCGTCTTATAAAATGAACACACGCCTGTCAGCTTGTTTCTAAACGCCTCACTGCCCGTCCCTGGGCCTGACGGCCGTCACGTCCTCTGTTACGACGACAAAGAGCACGTCAGAGGACAGGAAGTGCAGGCCGTCACCTAAAATATCTAACAGCCTTCAGCGTTCACTGACTCTGCCGTTTCATCAAACACAAGGTGTGGAGAGATGGAGCCGGCCAATCACACGGGCTCCAGGAGATTGGTTCCCATCACTCTGGAGTTCCTGTGTGTGTGTGTGTGTGTGTGTGTGTGTGTGTGTGTGTGTGTGTTGGGCCGAAAAAAGTGAATATGTAGATGGTTTTTTCCTTTCCTTTTCTCAGTGATCTATGATTATTATTTAAATTCCTCCGTCTCATGGTAGTTCTGTGTTGTTGTTGTTGTTGTTGTTGTTGTTGTTGTTGTTGTTGTGGTTGTTGTTGTTGTTGAGCCCGCCCTCTTTTCGCCCAGAGAATCGCAGCTTTGATGCAGGCAAAACAAAACACAAAACACAGGAGAGAGCGTGGCGTTTTGTCCGACAGAATTTGTTTAAAGTCATTCAGAAATAATCTTTTATTTAAGGCGGATTTCCAACGACTCCCACCTTTCAAATTAACGTGACACGCTGCCTTTCAGACTCAGGGGGGACGTTTGTAAAGAAATGAAATTAATTTCTTCTACTTGAGGCCACAATTTGGATCGATCCCAAAAGGCTAAAAACCTCCAGAAAAAAACAAAACACTGAGCTTGACTCAGCGTAAAAAAACAAAGATCATTCAGGTTGAACCCACTCGTGTGTCGCACGTCACGTCACCACACCACAGTATCAGGGACGTCTCCCCTGGGGGGCGCCACAGCAATTCAGGCCGTGCAAAATCTAAACTAGCTAAATCAGCTAACAGACAACAGACTGGTTTGTTCCACAGACAGTGAGAATAGAACAGACCAACACGACTGCAGGATATATTAAATGATTATTTTACAATAAAAGTGTGGACTTTAATGTGTTAATAAAATCACTAAGTGATGTATAAAATAAAATCCTTCTCACCAACATTTAGTTTGTGACGACCGACGACCGGAGCTGCTGTGGTTGAACCAACATCAACGTGAAGGATTTCTTTAAATATATTTATTTTTTCTAGTTTTCGGAGCCTCCAAACGGCTCACCTGCTGCTGGAACACCAGCTTCCCCTCAATCACTGATGTTGTTCCCGTTCACGGCTGCAGCTTCTGTGAGTGACGCACATGTTATTTTCACAGTGAATCTGTCCCTCAGGGTCAGACAGTCTAACGCTGCAGCGTTCTAAGACACGACATTTGCAGAAAACAACCTCAAGAGTGGTTTTAGGACGGCGGCTCCTTCATCACCGCGACACGTCCACTCAGAGGACGACGGTTTTAGGACCGAGCGCCATTTTATCACCAATTCACTGTCAACGCTTTAAAGAAAAACAAAACCATATTAATGTTATTCTTAATAATAACACCAACAATTATGATTTGAGAATTAAATATAATACATTTTGAAAATGATTTTACTTATTTTCCAAATAAACCCACACGTACGTCTGTGTTCAGTGGGGACTTTGTCCATTTGTCTCTGATCGTATTATTGTTTTTTTCTCCTAGTGGCCTGTCAGTGGAACTGTACGGTGCCATCAATTTCTCCCCCCCCCAGGGCCAGAACAGTAACAACCGACTGTGGAAACTTTTCTTCACCTTCTTCTTTTTTTTTTCGTGACAAATCTGATTACTGCCGCTCTTTCTTCTCTCCCATGATGCCCTGGGCCGTCGTTTGCTGTTCTACACTTTTGCCTCGATGACATTTTTGTGGAACTGCCACAGGAAATGTCAGTGACGTTGTTTGTTCTCATCTGTGGACTGAGGTGAATGGAGGTGGTCCAGGACAGGTGCCCTGTGGTACCAGACCCCCCCCCTGCCCCCCCCATCTGTGTGACACACTGTAGTCTAATGAATTCAACTGTTCTGTCAGAAAACACAGAAAATATTACCTGATTAAAAAAAACAATGTTTTTGATTATTAAACTGTTTTTCTCTCTCTCTCACAGCGTCTCCTAACACGGTTCACCACTGGTTCCTATGACCTTGACACACACACACACACACACACACACACACACACACACGTGGGAATGCAGCTCAGCTCTGACAGGCCAGGAATAACAGCAGGAAATGAAGACTTGAGACGTGTTGTCTTCACGTTGACC